GTACATGCAGCTGTATCTGCCACAGCATGTATTGGCAGTTACCAGTGGGGAAACTCGTCCGAAATTCCTTTCAGAATCGTGTAGAAGAAATGCTTCTTTGCAGGTTTTGGTCTCTTCACTTCTTTTTTTCGTCATTTTCCCATTATATAGCATCACTGCTAAAATTCTGTGAGTACCAAACTACCGTGCCTTCTGCCTTCAAGGCGGCCTAGACTCAAATTTTCTTGGTATCAGAAAGCCAAGTAAAAACCACATGCCTTTGTTCTCCGCATCGCCGATAGTGTTAGAAATAGAGAAAGGGTGATTAGAAAAACGTCTGCATTTCATGAGTGGGGAACTGAAATAATACTATAGCTGACTCTGCTTGAATGTCGATAACTGTCTGCTAACACCCTCCAGCGAGCCAAGGCCGCGTTTACACTTTGCACCATTGAAGAACTGAAAAATTGATGGATGAACGAAAAAGGTTGGATACATCGACCTGAAGAATTGAAGGATCGGGGAATCGCGATTAAAAAAATGGCCGATACGTATCTGATCCATTCCGTCACTTCTTCACAGCCGCAAAGTATGAACGTAGCTTAACGCACAACATGTCTCCACCCTCTGTCTGAGACATGACATTTTCTAAAATGACCTGGTTAACGTCAGAAGATGTACTCTCTCCTGGACATCAATGACGTAATGGCTTTGCTGCGTCAAAACCTGACCAGCTGGCACGGGCCCAAGCACGCTAGGGGTCGGTCCTTCCTGCCAGCTTTTATTCAACACATGTGACGATGCGTCGCCACTTATGCTATCGTGAAAAAAAACTGAAAGCCTTCCAGAAGCGGCATAAGCTGCGGAGTCACCAACGGAAAAAGCCGCTGCAGGAAGAGAGACTGACGGATATAGCGTCCGAATAGAAATGAATCAAAAAATTCTTCACACCAATCAAATAAGCATTGCAGCTCCGATTAGAGCACCAGAAGAAGGAAACTGGATGTTACTAATTTAGCCGTCATATCTTATACGAATGATAAGATATTATTAATAACACTCATGTCATTTCAGTACACATCTCATACGGTAGACAAATCAGATAGGAGAACAGTTCCGTATCAAGTGGAAGATGACGTGACGATCGCTTTACTTTGTCCGTTGTCTACGGTAATGTCGTGACTGTAGCTTGTCAGTCTATGGTAATCTCATCGAAATCGACTGTTTTTCCATGTTTCGTAAATCTTCTCTCAATTTCTTCTGCCGATCCTCTCTCTATAATGTCTCATCAAATGAAAATATTTTTACCGGATCTGCCAGAATTGCGATCTTCTGACCTTATTCTGACATTATTAGTTATATCTGATTGGTATAATTGATATTATTGCAATCAGTCGGGCGGGCTTTTGAGGGGAGGAAAGAGCCCCTCTTGACATCGTCCCGCCCTGCCTTTTCCACCAGTGGTGATCGGCTGATGATCAACCCTAAAAGAAAGCAACCAATAGTGAAACTGTCGCGGGTGGGCACACTCCATGTCTCTTGACACCGCCCTGACTGATCGCGACGGTATCAACTGCCCAACTTCAATGAGTTGAAAACCCACGAGATTTTTTTCCTAACAATAAGCTCACGTTGTATGAAGTTAAAGGCAAGGCCCGCGATAAAAAGTCTAGGTGATGTTGCAGAAGAGTGAAGAAAATTCGCAAGTGAAACAGGCCATTAAGAAAAATGCAAAGGGAATGTTTGGACACAGCGCAGGCCAACAGGTTTGCCCGGAAGGGGGGCACAAGGGGCAGGATCGTCAGGCCTCCTCTAGCGTCAATTGTAGAGGTAAAAGACCGAAAAGACCGACCGCGCGCTGAGACGTCGCCCGCCTGCTATCCTTCACTATGATCGTTATGACTCTACAAGCTGACAAGGAATCACATCCACTCTAGACATACTTGCCGAGAGCATGCACTATCTGTAACAGCCCGCTGCGAGAGGCCGACTTTGGAGGCGGAGTATCCAAGAGGTGAGTCAACTGGAAAAGGGATGTTACCGACCAGGGGAAATAGCTGCACACTTAAATCCTTTGCCGTACAAGTAGAAATTGGTACGCTTGACCTCGTTAATGACTTGTCTCGCACCTATGATTCGAGGCATAATTAGCGAGGTGCGAAGCGACCTCATTAAGCCGAGGCACGTTACGAGCGGCACGGAGCTTCCAAAATCGGCACAAATCGAGTGAAAACTCTCAACAGATTAAGGTTAAGGCTTACGAAAAAGAAAAAAAAGATTGAGGTGAAGGCTTACGAAAAAGTAGTACGATAAGGTAGTGCTTCCTGTCAAACTGAATAGAATGGTATAATGCGTAGCTTTTAAATTTTTGAATTCTATTCCATATTTCAACAACACAAGACTGTAAGAAGAGAAAAGCGAAAAGCTAAGCATAGGCCGAAAAAAATTCAAGATAGTCGTACCCTCAGTTCGTTCAGTGATCCATGTAAAGTCTTCCAAGAAAAGTCGCTTGAGCGACAATGAGCTTTATCAACAGGAGAGCATCAAGCGCCCAAATAGAGTCCTACTGCAGAAAGATGTCCCAGTTTGTTACAAACAAAACTATATGATACATATTTATTCGATTTGCATACTTGTTTTTGTTTTTATAGTTGGCAGATACATATTGAAATAGTAATAATAATTAATAATAAATAATAAATGAATAAAATAATAATAATAATATAATAATAAGTAATAAATAGCTGGAAATATATAAGCAACTTTTAGCCAGTTAACAGAAATTTTCAATGGAGTTCATTGCTGATAGAGGGTCAATCTTTCCTCTTATGGGGCAGCCGAGTTTGCGCGAGCGTGACCCTCGCTTAATGAGGTCGCTTGCCCTCGCTATTATGCTCGAATATAGGTGGCGGCGATGACAAGTCATTAGGAGGTCAAGCGAGTACCATTTCTACCTAGCCAGACCTTTCTTCGCGAAAATGCAGAGGGTTGTTTACTACGGTGGCGTATTGCCTTCCCACTAACCTCTAGGCACTTTCATAAGGTCATCGCCGGACCGTTTCGTTTAAGCCCATTCGAAGTCCAACGTCTCACGATTGCCCGCAGTCGCGGAGTTTTCTCCTGTTACAATAGGAATCCCCCAAAAAGTCTATCGCTCCTGATGTGTCTTGTCAACAACTGGGGAGTAGGTTGTATCAAGATGTAGATGAATACTCAACTCAGATTAGTATATGGTCCTTGTAAGTGAGGTTTATAAGGAAAATCTTGCTGATCGAATTCTGCAATAAACTCTAGTTCTAATGGAGCAGAGGACCAAATATGATGTTGGTAAACTGGCGTTTAATGCATGGCTTCGAGAAGTCATAGACGGAGCCTTTCAGTTGAACGTCCTGGAGAGAAGCCGAACGTAGCGACCCCCGAATGAGCAACAAAGGCAGGCACCCACCCATGGAAACTACCAGGTTTTTCCGCTGTCCTCGGTGAACATTTCCACATTTCCTCGTACTACAACATGCAGCAAACCGTATTAGGGCCACATTAGGTGTCAGAGACGATTCAGCATCAGCTAATTTTGGCAAGCAATCCTTTACTCCTGTCTACTTTCGAAACAACAACAACTTTATTTTATATTTAAGCCGGAGAAAAAAATCTGACACATTTATTTACAGTCAGGAACTGCTGCCAAAGAATAATTTACAACAGATGTCGACTGAAAAATGAAAGGAAGGAATGTAAGCGCATTATGTGCTGGATTGCTCCAACACTGACATCGAATAATTAAAGCACGACAAAATGGAATAACAAAACCTAAACCCAACAAAATCACATGCAAAAAAACCTTGATACGTCGCTTTTTCGTTTCAAAACCATAGTGCAACAATGATCTGATAAAATTACCCAATATTGCATCACATCACAAGTAAACTTTGCCAAACCCGGAGCAGGGGGGGGGGTGTTGCTCATTCGAACAGGAAAAAACAACAATGAAAAAGTTGAGTCAACCAAATGCCACCATTTTCCCTCCATCACAGCTGAAGAATAGGCTGGCTTCAGTATTTAAGCATACAAGCGCCTCTATTTACCCCACTCGCAGCTGAATAAAACCACCTCCAATGTGTTGAAGAATCCCCAACGTGCTGCTCAAGGCACAGCTCCGTGATGCGTGGAATGACGATGTCGGTACGATCTCTCACAAAATTTCTCATTTGCTACGACTCCCCCATATCCACCCCCCCCCCCTCTCCTCCAAAGCTTTTCTTGTTAACATTTTGAAACTACAAACTCTATCAAAAAAAGGAAATATCGTTACAGTATAAATATAATAATATATTCATAATATTATACCGCTTTATGGTTCCATGTTACTTTAGAATACTTTGGCTTATGAAATATGGACTCGTGCTCATCACATGAGCAGAAGTTCTGAAGGAAAACCCAAGCTAGCGTCACGCTAGTATTAAATGACTGAAGAATTGAAAAAAAGAGGTAGAAGATATAAATGATGCCAGAGATATTAAAAAAGATTTGATAAATGTTTCCTAGAATCATTCGTCAGAACATTCAAGCATTCACGTCAAAACCTCTACTGTACCCTGCCGAAAGCCTACCCACTACCCTCTGCCTTCACCGTACAGCAAATCTCAAGCAAATCGCCACTTGCTAGCGAGAGTTGAACCGCCGTATGAAGAGAAGGGAAGTATCAACTCATAAGGGAGCAATCCCTAGATATTTCGCCACAAACACTCTAATTACAGCCATCATGTGATAGATTGTAGGGTAATGCAGCACACTTTCATTGTCGCCTGCCGTATGCCAGACACGTGGGAACGGCACCGGAATCAGATGAAGGATGGGTACACCTGAAATGAGCGTATGTCACATAAAAGCGTCTCTAGAATCTAGGTAGTGCCATCGACGCATACGCGGGAAAATGGGCATCCAGTCCTACACACTTGAAAAGAAATGCCTTCTGAAATGTAGGTGGGGGCGGGGAGTTCACTTGTGACTTCATGTGAAAAAGAACTTTGTCAAATTAGATAGACGAGGATTTTTCCTTAGGCCTAAAGGGGACGAACTGCACGGTTAGTGATCAGTATAAAAGTAACAATCCACCTTACTCCGGGAATAGCCCATTCCATAGATGCTCGTGCCACTTTCTGGGCTCAAAAAGCATGGAAACAGAGCTGGGGAGGGGGTGACACCTGTGTGCCGTCTCCATACTCCATCCGCGCTATCCTCGCTATGTGCAACCCTTGCATCTATATACCAAAGTCAGGCAGCGAAACAGAGAACAACGGGAAGTGAGAAGGCGCAGACAAGTAGCGTTTGGCTACGATTGGGCGTATCCCTGGCCGTGCGGCAGCGCGGGCGGGTTATGGTGACTATAGCCGGGTACTACTACCCCTCCCCTTCTTCCCGTACTTTTTTGACAGAAGAAAATGGCACGACACTGCAGCTGTGGACTCATTGATCCACACAAGGATCAGGACTCATGCAGGTGAATGTACAGTCGGTTGCAAAGTAGAGTTTATCCATTCGGATGACGTTAATCTCGCTTTTGCACAGGAAGATTTTCAACCCCCCCCCAAAGATATTTACGCTACACACCCTATTTTCCGGGTTATAAGGTGCACCTCTGCCCCGCATGACGAAAATCCACTCTCTCGTCATTTCTCTTTCGTACTTTCTTCTTTTCTCCTGATCCTTTGTCGGAGAACTTTTTATGCGTGTTGTCGCGTGTGTCTTTACATTCCCGAATGAATGCCCTTCATGCCCCGAAAAAGAGGGTAATAAAGCGAGGTAATGAGTAGCCTAAGCCTAGGGAATTGTGGTTCTAGGATAACGTCACTTGCCCTCTCTACGAACGACTTCACAAAACACTTGAAAGACAGAAAAGGTTCTGAAATTGGATCAACGACATACCTCGCTTCATAAATGGAATATGATCATCCTCTACAGCATGAATTGACCGTGCAGAATTGAATACATTACGTTGTACATACCCACACCCGAGACGGGTTAACTCTGCTTCTGAAAATATTCAAATTTATGAACTTCAGATTGGTTAGTTGGCATCGAACTTCCTTCACACTTTTTTGAAAGAACAAAAGCACGAAATTGCACATCGGTTAGTTCTCGTATGTAAGCAGCCAAACGTCGCTACTCTCCGAGGAGTCGAATGAAGGTCGTATACAAAAGAGGTTTTGGACATGTTACCCTTCACGTTCCCCTTTCGGAATCAAATAAATGCTCCTACCAATAGAAGACAAGCTGTCAAACAACGGCAGTGCTCCAAGTCCCATCGTATTTGATATAGTCGGATTAGCAGCTCCAAGAAGGTCAAGCAGCATGAGAACGTCCTGCAATGCTACTCTCTCAAATCAGAAAGAATGGTCAGCCAGTAGAAAAGAGACAGTCAGACAATTTAAAAAAAAACACAGGTGGTCCGTTTCGTCTCTGACCTCATGCGAGCCACTGTTATTTCTCTAACACTAGTACCCATCACAGGTAAGGTTGAAGAAATAGTGACATAGGAATAAGTCCGACGGAAACTAATAAGCGGAGTTGGGCGCAAATCGGCCGGGGGGGGGGGGAGGGAGGGAGACATTCTGCTGACTACAATTCAATCACGTGCAGATGGAGACCTGGAGATCTGTAAATTCTTGTGAAGCTATGGAATAGCATGAGCTTCGTCTACAACTGACGAAAATCTTCACGTCTTACCAAGGAGAGACGTGCAATTTTTGGAGAGTTAGCAGAAGAAACTAGGAGCGCCAGAATGCCGTCCCTCCCCCTTTCAAGCCGAAGAGGGCTGGGAATTGCAACGTGGACACTCATGCACAAGAGACCTCATAAAAAGAAGGAAGCTGTAGAAGAAATGAATCAGAAACTGAAAGTTGGAATCAGAGTACAAGGTCGTGATGTGTGAAATTGCGGTGTAAGTAGGCCTCCCCTTCCCCTTCAACTATCCCTTTCTGGTACGATCCCGCTCTCTTACCCATCCTACATGACAT